AGAAATATGCCGTTAGAAATGCCTCACACAAGCAGTAATTTGTCTTTTTGTAATTTAAAGCAAAGATATATAAATACATATAAATGTTCATACGTTTTTTGTTTTTTTTTATGTTCATACGTTTTTTTTTTTTTTTAATTATGATATTAAAAGCTTTCAAGGCTTCAAGATGCTGATGACCATTAAACGCGTTATAACAGGCTTGTGAACAGGGTCCAAAGCACTTTTATAATGTGTTATGATGAAATTTTCCAAAAATTGTATATGACAACCTTGGGAGCATTCAAAATAATTTAAATTGTAAACTAATTATGCTTAAATAACCTTGGAAGACACATTTTTTAGCAAATTTCTAATATTTAAGAGGGAAAATAAATGATATATGCAGAAATATATTATATATTATATAAATATGTATTATATAATTATATATTGAATTGAATTGAATTTTTTGAATGTATTAAATTTGATGTATTAACGTATTAATTAATTTTAATAAAGTAATCAATTTAATTCCAACTTTTCCAATATATGATTACAATTGGGTTATTTTTAGACATATATTCAACATTTTCATTATATATATATATATATATATATATATATATATATATATAGAAAATTATTGAATAAATTAATTTAACGAATACTGTAATAATTGTTTAACTAAATGTTTGTTTATAGTAGTAAATACACTAACTAATGGACCACTATTTTAAAATGTCACCCAAATGTGGACATTTCAGCTCTTCAAATAAAAATCTATTTAGTTTGATATTGAAATAAAATGACAGGCAAAAAAATGCTAATAAAAAAACAATAAAGTTTTTTTTTATTAATATTATTACCCTATTGCGAACAGCATTTCCACTGTTGATTTAACAGATTACATAACAGCCAGGCTATTAGAATAAAACAGCAGCGAGGCGGCTCACTGGGTTTTGGACCAGAGCTCATGTGTTAGAAAGTCGGTGGGTGAAAGTGAGAAAAAAAAAAGGCTATCAGTATAACTAGCAGCTCTCTGCATATGACAGCAGCATGTTGGCAGTGTACAGTTTGACTTCAGCTTAGCATAATTCTCCTCTCAGTCAGTGGCGATGTGGGAACAGGGTGGCATATGCTGCCCCGCGCCTCGTTCTGGCAGCCTGGCACTCTGCACACATTTGTAAACAGTGAGGAGGAGAAGAGGAGCAGGTGAATCTACAGCAGCCTGTCTCTTCTGTCACTCAGCATGGGTTTACACTACCATCCCCGCAAGCTATTGATACCATAACAACTATGCCAGCATCACTGTGAAAGTGATGTCTCTATAATGACTGACCTGTGGTAGAAACAGATGGCCTTGATAGAGAAACTGTCAAGACTTCATCATATCAGAAAGGTTCTAGCATGTTTAAAGTCCACGTGACATCAACAGAAAGTTTTGTTGATGTTACTATCAGTATGTTAGTCTTAAGGATATCTATAAGATGGTGTGCTCCAAAACAGTAACAGAATTTACATTACAAAGATATAATCAAAGCTTGCAGTTTGCACTTCCAACTGAATGGATCAAAAGAAAATAGTTGTGTCATATTCTCATCAAATCTTCAGACCAATCAAATGCTCTCTAGTATCTAACAGGTCCCGCCCTCACTTCTCATTTGTTTTGCATTTGATGTGCTTGAGCTCAACCGATCAAGAGTTGTGATAAAAACAAAATGCTATTGGCTGATTTTTTTAAAGGGGGAGGAGCTATTATTTGTCCCGCCCTGTCTTTATTTTTCAGTTGAAGTTGTCACACATTGAACAAGACTGCACATATCAAAGCACTTCTCATGACTTTAAAAAGTCAATTAAACTAAGCAAATTTCTTCCTGCTCTCTCTTCCACTTTGTATTCACTCCAGCGCATGCATACAAAGATTTTAGCATCTTTACAGAAAGCTGGTCTCCTGAGTTCAACAGCCAGACAAGCAGAACACAGGCTGTCAGATGTTAAAACACAAATAAAAAACACCCACCAAATTCTGGAACAAAGAAAAACCTTGGAGATTACACAAACAATATTCCACATCAACATTCAACACTGCGCATGTCTATGAGTGCATCTGTGTTTCTGTGAGGTTAGGATAGTTGATCATAAAAATTAACATACTAATACATGTATTATCATTACATCAATTAGGACTGTGCAATATATTGAAATCATTATCGGGGTTATGGGGTAAGATCCTTTAAAATAATTGTATGTGCCAAGCATTTGTACGTTGCATGTGTAACAGAGGCCAGCTTGTGAAGTGCTGTGCAGTTAAACCTCACTTCTCTGATCTTAGCCTCCTTGTTAGAGTAACCGATTCCCATGCGAAGAGTTGCTGTTTGATTAAAGCACGGATTGGGTTGGGTGGTGTAAGACTGGTGGGGGTTGGTGCTGTGACCCGGATGGGAGTGAAGTTTAGAGGGGTGAGTGTAACAGAGGCCAGCTAGTGAAGTGCTGTGCAGGTAAACCTCACTCCTCTGAACTCGAAAAGGTGCTCTAGTGACAGATGCTAGGGGCCACGGTCTTTACACTATTTGTTAGATCGACCGACTCTCATGCAGAGAGTTGTCGATTTGATCCCAGCTCAGAATTGGTTGGGTGGTGTTGGACAGGCGGAGGATACATTGGTGCCGTGAACCAGATGGCAGTGAGATTTAGGGGGGTGATTGTAGCAGAGGCCAGCTAGTGAAGCGCTGTGCAAGTAAACCTCCCTCCTCTGAACCCGAAAAGGTGCTCTAGCGACATATGCAAAGGGACATGGTCTTTAGCCTCCTTCTTAGAGAGACAGACTCCCATGCGCAGAGTTGCCTGTTCGGTCCCAGCTCAAAGTGGGTTGGGTTCTGTATGACTGGCATGCATTGGCTGTTTATCTATATTTAACCAATCAGATGGGCCTTACTATCTTTATAATATTATGCTTTTGACTAGACCGAGCCCAAAGGTGAAAACATTTCCGCAAAGCAGAGAGCTGAAAAATAATACTATTTAGTAAAGACAAAAAGGGAAAACGTTTTTTTTTCCACATTGATATAGGTGTGCATAGGTTTTGTGAAATACATGCGTATTTCATATGATCATTACATGAACTTTTTTCAAAAAGATAAAAAATAATTTCTTAAGAGAAATGTTATATCACAAGAACTATTGTTATCACTTTCCCATTACTGGGTTGCTGCTGGAAGAGCATCTGCTGCATAAAACATATGCCGGAACAGTTGGCGGTTCATTCCGATGTGGCTATCCCTAATATATATTGCTCCAATCTATTTATGCGAAATTTTGCACATGCATAAACCCAGCAGAGCTCTGCAATCTGCTGAACAACTTCTGCTTGGAAGTCCCTCGGTCAAGATACAAGCAGTAAGGGTGACTGCTCTTATGCAGTGGCTAAACTCTGGAATACCCTTCCTCCTGACCTTCATATAATCACTGACCTGCCACTTTTTAAAGCCAAGCTTAAGACCCACTGGTTTAAATTGGCTTTTAATGCATAGCACTGATACTTTGTTATGTTTTAATGTTTGTTGATTTTTATTGATTATATTTGTGTTGTTTTGCATCGTCTCCTTTTCTGTTGTGTTGTATAATTTGCGTTTACTTGTGTAAAGCACTTTGGTGTAAAGCACTTTTAGTAGTTGTTGTAAAGTGCTCTGTAAATAAAAGTTGATTGATTTATTGATTGATTGATTGATTGATTGATTGATTGAAGGGACTAAGCCCAAGGAAAAGGAATGAATTAATTAATGAATATTGTTATCGCAATGATTAAATATTTTTAAAATTATATATTTATATAACACAATAATATTATATTACTTATATAAAAAGTTATTCGATTTTCAGAGTAACCTACAATGTATGAAATGTGTTTTGTTTTCAACGTATGAAAAAAAAATTGTGATGGTTATTAATGCCAAGCTTTAAAAAATTATTACACATATAGTAGTGTACATGACTTGCATGCGCTATTCCAAGTTTTTGAAATACATATGAAACATTTAAGTACTTATACTTCGGTGATGTTAAATGCTTCATTTTATTTGCCTGATGAAAATTCTAAAGTATGCAATTACTTTCATGGAACTCACAGCTAAAGTAGTTCCAGTCAGGTCTTGACAGTTTTAGGCCCCAATCACACCAAACACATTTACAGCAGCCTTTTCAAAACAGCAGTGAGAGTTTTGCATTCTGTTTAGGCACCCCAAGCATCTAACCACCTGCTGTGTCTTGCGTTTTTGGAGCAATCTGAGAGCCTGCAATTCTGCAAGTGTCAACTTTTTGCAGAAAAAGAGCCGACTTCACAAACAAGATTGTTGTGGTTGCCTAGCAACATAAAACTTACAGCGCACTGCTCTTTTCTAACATCAACAAAAAGGCAGTGCAGTGAGCCTTACATTTTCTAAAAAGCATGAACTGTCCCGTACAGTTCCATATGACTACAGTTCCATATGACTACTATAATTTATTATCTGATCATTAATTGTACCTCTTAAAATACATTTACCAATCTTTTTTGTCACCAGATGGCATGTATTGGAGATGTGTTTTTTCCTTGTGTGTATGTAGAGTGGAAACAAGTGTGCTACCTGTGGTGAGACGATTGATAAAAGCATGTCTGTTCTCCAGTAAAGGGTGGCCTCTATGAGCTTGACAATCACAGTATAGATGTATATTTTGAATGGCCACACCATGTATGTTACATTGCTTGGTAATAACACACTATTAGTAGCTATCAGTGTATGACAGGTTTTGGTAGTAAAATATACTTTCATTAATAAGCTATTTTTACTTTAATTACTTAATTAATTACTTAAACCTATAAAACATTTTTTTGTGTTTTTACTTGAGTACAATGGGAAATGAATACTTAAAATATTAGTGTTTTTTTATTTATGGAAGTAATCTTTTAAGGGTACTTGATTTCATCCTCCAGATGAAAGACAATATGAATTTGGGGGTAGAAACATAACAAAACAACTCACATGGTATAGTACATCAGTCCATCCTTCCATGGTGATGCACTGGAAGACTGTGAGGATGGCGAAGAGGATGTTATCAAAATTTGTGATGCCAAAATTGGGTCCTTTCCAGTACTCCGTACAGTTTGTTCCAACGGGACACGATCTTGAGGGAGGCTCAGCTCCACATGGATAATCAACAGCCTTTTCTCCTGCACACAAATGAATAGACAATAAACATTTATAGGCCTAAACATCCAGTGCCCAAAACATAATTAAAACTTTCTAAGGAATTATTTACTATACCTTACATTAGTAAGCACCAAAATTGATTTAAAATGTTGTTAACTTGTTAACACAAGTTCGGCAGCGGGACCACGCCTTACTCTGCCTCCTTAACCAATCACCTGCTCCCTAGCACTATTCTTCTCGTTTTCTAGAACCCATCTTCCCTCCCTCCTTGCTTCCAATTAACAATCCTTATAATCCTCCATTCCTTCCTAGGTTTAATCTGGGGGTCCTAATCACTCTACCAAAATATTACAGAAACGGTACCCCCATTCTAAGTCTCTGAGCATCATCGTAGGATACCCAATCAACCTACCTACCTGTTCACTATTTATCCTCTTACTTCCGTTCCTCTTCATCCCACTGTTCCCTTACAACAAGTCTAGCTCAAAGTGTGGTGTGGTCCATGCAAGTGAAGTCACCTAAAAATATTGAGTATATTGGGAGGGAAATTGGGAGGGAAAGCCACAGTATGTCATTTTTGCCACTAGAGAGAGTGTTTTCACAACAAACAAAGTATAGTTTTATAACGCTATCACTGTGGAGTGTGGAATTATGACAGCTTAATTCAGTACACCTTTTACCCTAATTACAAATAATTTTATAATTTATTAATACTTCATTTTAATCTTATAGACGTCCTAGTTTTTTGCAATTCCACGATCGCTGAATCCAACGCAAAATCAACTAAAAGTCGCAATTTATAATTAAAAAATTCTTAACTAAATGCAAAATAATCACAAAAAAATGGACGTGACCGGATTGAAGGACAATATTTGTGCTTTACATGTATGGTTGATATTATAGTGTTTATGAAATCGATAAGTGATTTCGTTTAATTCTTTCCCTGCTATTAATGAGAGAAAACCAAAACGCTTCCCTGCGACGAGTTTTACAGCAATCGTGTTTTAGGTGTATTACAGTAGGGAAAGCCTTTCCTGAGTGAGGTACATGCCAGATGTTCCAGGGCATAAAATCTGAGAGAGAGAAAAAGTAAGTTCGTGCATAAAAATTATACAGCCTTCCTTTGGCTTAATCCCTACCATTTTAAATCAGTTTTTAGATCTAAAAATTTTAGACAAGAGACTAAAATGAAGAAACTTATTTTTATGATTTGTGTCTTTGTTATTGTGTCATATTGCACACCCACCATAGTAGGCTGCCTAATATAGTAAATAAGATTTTAAATAATATTATATAATAATAATAAACAATAAATAAATACATGATAATATTTTTTAATCGCAAAATTGTCCGCGGATTTCTGAGAATTACCACCACAAAATCAGTCATTTTTATTGCAAAAACAAATCACAAAAAAACTGTTAAAAAAAATAGAGTATCTGATCTTACACTTAAAATGCAGTCCTTTTATTGTTAGAAAACAGCCGTAGTGAACATCTAACCATCTCTGCAGTAAATATACAGCTGACTGGGTGAATTATCCATGGGGAGTCCGTGTAGGTGGAAATAAAGATACACTGCGTGGAGTGAAACCGGACACCGCGTGACTTCATGTGAAAGGGATCTATAGCATACAAGAGATGAGCAGGAAAGCTTTTATTATGCCACGATTCACTGATTCTGTTTTTATTATAATAAATAAATGTTAATGTTATAATGCTATTCTGTACAGTCTAATAAAATGCACAGCATATTAAAGCATGTCATTTCCTGGTTTTCTATAAAACCAAACCTAAAATCGGGGGTGTGTGATGTCATTAACGTACACAAAATGGTATGGTCAAGGTCACTAGTTAAAATTGCAAATTTTTCTGGATTTAAACATTCTTCAAAATGTTTGGGATAATTTAAGTACATCATCTAGCAAAATATATTACACTGTTCTAGGGATTTTTGTAAAAATAAATGGCACCATATGGAATATTTAGGACATAATTTAGAATATAATTTATAATAATAAAACATTTATAAACAGGTAATATTAATTATATATAATAAAAATAATATAATTTTAAATGTATAAATGTATTACAGTAGGTAACCACACTCTTCTGCTAATGAATGTAACTGTTCACCAAGAAAAGGATAAAAAATAATCCTAATTTTCAAACGGCAGGCTCATTTATGATGGGCACTATATGAACATTATAAGCCTATTTCAACAATCTTTACATATTTGAAGGGATAATTTCTCCAAGCAGCACTTCCAAACTGGACAAACGCACACACATACTCACACTTGCACATGTATACACACACACAGTGCGCACATGCACATACACACGTGCACACATGCGCACACACACACACACACACACACACACACACACACACACACACACACACAAACACAGTTTCTCTCTGAGGCAAAGCACCTGCTGATGTTTCTGATTGAGGGGTGAAGCAGGCAGCAGCTGAGCACATGTTAGCAGCTCAGCTTCGTATTGGAAACCTCATTACCAGCACAAGCTAATTACACACGCTGTGTCAAACTGAAATAACCCGCGCACACATATTACATTAACAACCTGTCAAGGTCTCTCACGCCATGGACACAGAAATACAGTACATAAACACACAAACACGAGTGCAAAATAACACACACAAACAAAAACACAGCCTCCAGCTGAAACGGCAGAGCTTATATCCTCATCTCCAAGAACCGTGCTGTGCAGATACAATAGAAAAACATTTGTGCTTTATGCTTTTTCAAGAAGCGGCTGCTCTCTTTTTACCTCTTTGTCAGAAAAGAGCTTTAAAAATCACTCATTTAAACAAAAAACAAAAGAGTCAGTGTGCTTGCCGTGCCTGCAGGGTAATTCATAAAAACATCTGCTTTATGATAGCAATCAATGATATTTTGCTGCAGGATTACTGTTTTAAAAAATGTAATTACATTTGCCTCTGTCGATCAATCATGTGTTTCGCTGGGGTGTACTGAAGTCTGTCAGACGTCCACTGGAATTGGTGGTGGAAATCAAAAGTTTATATTAATATCATTCTACAACCTGGCGTTTCCCAAACAACGACATAACTCGCAGCTGAACTGTCATAGTACAATGCATCATTTGGAAAAAGAACAATGCAGTGATGACTGTTTACCAAAACCGTAGCTTCTCAGTCACAGACCCTTTGTTTGAAGTTAGTTAGATCAATTTGCATAAATAAAGGAAGAGCCTTGAAGAACCTTCATTCAGAACAGGGAGCTGCAAAAAATAAAGCTTCCAGAGTTGTCAACTTCTCAATTCTTTTCACTCTTTACATTTGCATTTGCATTAACCTGATAACCATAACCATGGACATCCACATCCTGAAGCGTTATTTGCTTGAACAGATCAGCATTTAGTTATGTAGCAGATGCTTTTATCCAAAGCAACTTACAATTAAGGAGGCATTCAGGGATTCAACAAGAAAAGGCAAAACACACAAGAAGTGCTAATTATACACTGTAAAAACGCCAACTTTCAAAAAGTCCTCTGAACAAAGATTAATAAGTTAACTGAATTTAAATATTTTCATTTGAAATGCTGACAAATAATAGTTAGTTTGTTCAACAAATATGGTGCTTCAATGTGAAAAACTTAAAATATTTCGTTGAACTAATACAAAATTCTTAGTTTTGCGTTGATGCGTGCCCTTCTTGTTGGCGCATGCGCCTTATAAGCTTCTGGCGCATGCGCAATTTACTTCCATAGCTCACTGCAGGGGGTACCTGTCACGTGCGCGCGACAAAACGAACCATCTTTCTTTCTGCGGAGCTACGTGTCAATCGTTTTCATAATCGATTGTATATAATTGTATACATGTTTTTGTGCGATGTGCTACCCATCTGACTGCCCGATCTATTTTACCAGTGTATTAATGATGTGAGAGACCGTGATAGAGCGGTTAAGAGTAGTGGTGGGCAAAGCGAGGCTTCGTGAAACACTGAAACAGTCGAAGCAAATGTGTCGAAGCTTCGAAACGTTTCGAAACCTCACTCTACAGTGACATTTAGTGGTCATTTTTTATATATATTGCACTGAAACAGCTTCAGCAAAGAACGATTGAACAAATTGAGGGATTAAACCCCACTTTGTGAAAGTGAAAACCTTCAAGTAACATAGTACAGTGGTTAAGGTGTCAGACATCCATGCAGGAGTAGTAGGTTTCGAAGCCAGGCAGTAACAGTTGTTTTAAAATACTTTAATACCAGTTGGTAATGCTTTGCTCTTGTATCGTTTTGTTTCAACATTGGTCTGATATCCGAATAAACAATTTGTGAATAAATATGTCTTGTTTTTGTCTTAAAACAGGGTTGTTGCTAGATCAAAAACGGTGGCCTGAAGTTATCAAGAATTATTTATATTATTCATTAAATTTCCCATTTATTGTATTTTATTAATGTCTACCCAAACCCTAAACCCAACCATACTGTAAAAATATTTATTATTGTTTTACAGTGTTACAAAAATGATGCTAAATTGATGGCGTAACTGTAGCTGTATCCTATTTAGACTACACAAAACAGAAACATGATTAAAATACATAAAACCATGATTTCGAAGTCGGGATACGAACCCAAAACATCATGCTAAGCATAGATTCAATAAGCAAACCCACAGTGCTCTAAGCCATTTGAGACAGAGATAATTTGGAGACCTTGGCAGTCAAATTAGGATTCACCAGGTCTCGAAACGTTTCTAAGCTGATCGATGCTTTGAATCGCTTTAGTCACGTGACTAGGTGTTTCGAAACACTTTAGTCACGTGACTTGGGTGCTTCGGATCATGCTTCGGTGCAGTGATTCGAAACACTTGCGCTTCGGGATCTCGACACTGTGTCAAAACATCAGTTTCACGTCAGCCATCCCTAGTTAAGAGCAGGCCAACGACGTTTCTGCTAAATCATAGGTATGTATGTCTTTTTTTGTTGTCATCTAACGTTATATTATTTGATATGTTGGCTTTGATGTGCGCGTGTATCCTAATACAGAACTATTTGTTATAATTTAGCCGTGAGTTACTTGTTTCGTGCACTTGGTTTTGGCTATTTACATCAATAAAAGTTTAGAGTGAATGTATTTGAAACAAATAGCGATTTCAATCGAGTCATTTGCTTTAATAACTCACGATTAATACAATGAGTATCATATAACATACCAGGTCAGGTATCCAAGTCAAATATAACATTATGTCCTGTTTATCTAGATTGCTGTCAGCATTGCGCTCATCATAACCTTTTTTCCCTTCGAACCAGAGCCAGTGGAACAAACGGTGACGTGTTTAACTGTGTAATTTGTGTGAAAATCGTGTGATTTTCATGTAATTCATTGCTTGATTTGTTAGCTCGACTAAATGTCTATCATATTCAGACCAACTTGCTTTAACAGTCAGCTAGCTTTTATTTACATAAAAAATATAAAGGGCTAAATATATATTTTTCTTTCTTTTTGCTCAAAAGGACTGAAATATTGACAATGACATAATTCAATGCAAGATTTCCTTGAGGAGGTGAGACTTGTTATCATCAGTGAAATTTGACGGTCATTCACCAGCAGATGCAAGAAACCTTTTCTCTTTGCCCAAAAGAAGTTGTTGAGATTTAGCCAGGAAGAAATTAGAGAGAGATAACCTGGACTTTAAGGAAGAGGTAAGTAACTATATTGCAATTGCTTTGGTTTCATTCAAGGTAGTAATGATAATGCTAAAAATAACAAACAACATTATTATTATAGGTAATTCAAAATACATCTGTATTCAGCATTTGAACATTTAAATATTTACATTTATATATATATATATATATATATATATATATATATATATATATATATATATATATATATTATGTGTAAAAATTAATATGTATGTTTTTTTTGTATATTGTAGATCTGCACAGAGTTTTCTCAGATCTGTAATGTAGATCTCCTGAGACAGTTAATCGAGTGACTTGATAAATATACAGCACCTCTCCTGAAACTCTACAGAAAAGAAGGGATTCAATGGGTGCAGAGATGGATACAACTTTAAACAAGATGGATGAGCAGGTACTCATTAAGATTTTTTTTTTCTTATACACCCGTCTGATGTTTTTAACATGTGCAACATATTTTGTCCTGTCAAGAATTTCATGCTCAGGTAATACAGTCTAATAAAACGTAATTGCAACAATTTAATTGTCCAGCCCTTTTGCATTAATTTTAATTGTGTCAAGTTGTGTTTTGATTGTGAGATGGAAGTAAGATAAATAACAGATGTTTCACTTGTTTTGAGTGACCATTTCAAATGAATACATTCAAAGAGGAAAATAGAAAATAATAGCTGTAGTTTTTAACTCAAAGTAATTGTCACATGAAACTAAACATTTTTCTAAATTTGCCAACACAACCATTATCAAATTCCATTGTATGGAAACCACAAAATTCTTTTTTAAAAATAAAGCCATGTGTTTTTTCAACAGCATGAATAAAATACTATGCTCATTTAAATGTACTAAGTACATTTTTACTTACAAAACAATAAGATTGTAAAACACCCTTTGTAAATGACTTTCCTTTAGGTCACTGATATTGTCACCGATCGAGAAAGAGCAGCTCTTGAGGGATTGCCAATTTTTCTTCGTAAAAATTCTGCTTGCTTTCTCAAGATATGTCTGGTAAGTTACCCATTTTCATACCCTATTCTACATTTATTAGTCTGCTTGGTAACACTTTTAATAGCTGCACGCTATAAATAATTTATTTAGTATTAGCGAATAGTTAATTTATTTTCTGTTAAGCATAACTCTACATGAAGTGCTCAATGATTGTATTTTTTTTAACTTTAATGATTCATTTGTATTACTAATTTAAGTATTGCATTATTTACAAACCAGTTATTTAAGAATAGTTGGTGTTTTTAAGATCATTCAGAATGCTTAAGTACACGATTAATAAACTATTCAAATTAACATTTAAATATCCTAATATTAAGGTATGTAATAATAGTTACTTTGTATGTTAGTATATGCTTTATGAGCTTAACTTCATCCAGTTGTGACCTAATCTAAAGTGAGGACTATTTATGCTTTATAAATCCCTTATGAATGACAATTAAAGGCTCAGTTATATTCTAAACAGGACAATAAACAACTTTCACAATTGAAACTGTATCAAATAAAAGTAAATCTTTGCAATTTTATGTAAAATAAAAGTTTAAAAAATTGCTAAATATTAAAAAGTTGTCAATATATTGTTCAATTATTATATATTATAGACTATTCAAAGTGTTACTGTTTGTATGTACGAAAGTATTACATGTTTTTATTTTCTTTGCATAATAGTAATAACATTAATAAGTAGTAATTAATATTACACATCAATTAATTTTCCCATTACTTAATCTCCTATAAGGACACGGACCCTGAAGACCACAGCACCAGAGATTAAAGGATTGGAATCTTCACTGTGGTGGAAGATGATAATGGCACTTCTGCATCCCTGCAATATGTGATGAACCTCGCTAAAATCTTGGAGGAGGCCATAGTACTTCAGGATATCACACATCTGCCTGCAGCCTTCGCTTACTTGTTCAGCCTCTTGTATAGACTGAATATGGAACACCCAAAAGAACTCAAATATACTTTTTAAGTGATTCAGCATGTTTTATGGAGGTTGGTGGCACATGATCTGCGAGAGTTCAGTTCATTCATTCATTTATTTTCTTTTCGGCTTAGTCCCTTTATTAATCTGGGGTCGCCACAGCGCAATGAACTTGTTTTACGCAGCGTATGCCCTTCCGGCTGCAACCCATCTCTGGAAAACATCCATACACACTCATTCACACATACACTACGGACAATTTTAGCCTACCCAATTCACCTGTGCCACACGTCTTTGGACTGTGGGGGAAACCGGAGAACCCAAAGGAAACCCACGTGAACGCAGGGAGAACATTCAAACTCCACACAGTAACGGCAACTGACCCGTGACCACTTCCTAATGTGCCACTGTTTCAATGTTTTGAGGTCTGTTTTTGGACTTTATGTACTTTGTTGACAAAAGTGCAGTACACTTTAAAGACTGTATGAATGGAGTGGCTTTTAGGGTTTACTCTGATTAGATGATTGTATATTCACCTGGTTTGAGTGTTTAGACACACTAATAGCTTGGTTTTAGTAAGGTTGCCAGTTATTTTATGTTGACGCAGTGTACAATCTTTTCAAATCTGGAAACATTCAGTACTAGTTGTGTACAAACTAGCCCAATGCTGAACACGGCTAATGTCAAATGCTGATTTTGTATGCAAATGTTTTGGATTGTGATTTGAACACAGTTAAAAATAAAAAAAAGTGAATTGACTATTCTTGTGTATTTAATTTGAATCCTAAAAATTAATAGTAAATGCATAATGAATCAGTTTGTTTTATTTTGTTCAGTAAACTAAAAAAATCTTGTTGGGTAAACATAATCATTTTTGTTCAGTAAACAAAAGATCTTGTTGAATAAACGTGAAAATTTTTGTTCAGCAAACAAAAGATCTTGTTGAGTAAACATGATAATATTTGTTCAGCAAACAAAAATATCTTGTTGGGTGAACATGACATTTTTTGTTCAGCAAACAAAAATATCCTGTTGGTTGAACATGATAATTTTTGTTCAGCAAACAAAAATATCCTGTTGGTTGAACATGATATTTTTTGTTCAGCAAACAAAAATGTCTTGTTGGGTTAACATGATATTTTTTGTTCAGCAAACAAAAATGTCTTGTTGAATGAACATGATATTTTTTGTTCAGCAAACAAAAATATCCTGTTGGTTGAACATGATATTTTTTGTTCAGCAAACAAAAATATCTTGTTGGGTGAACATGATACTTTTTGTTCAGAGAACTAAAGAATTCAACAAAATATTTTGAGTTCACTGGTCTTCAAACCCTGTTTGTTGAGTTAACTCAAAAAGCTATGTGTGATAGGTTGCCTAATTATTTTAAGTTTACTCAACTTTTTTTTTTTACAGTGTACAAAGGAACTGTTAGTGGTCAGAGAATTAAGTGATTAATTGCTAGATTAAGGGGCAGTGTTTTTTTTGTGTGTGTGTCTCTACAGGTGGTTTGTCATGCCCACTCACCTGTGTGAGGTACACTAAGTTTTGGGTTGTAATGTAGTTTATGAATAGATAAAAATGCGTAATTCAGGGCCAGAATCTGTGGACATTTTTGCTACACAAAATCTGCACAGAATTTTGTAACCCAACAAATAAATAAATAAATGAGAATCTGCAGATTTATTCAGAATGATGGGAGTATAGTAACTAAAAACTTAAAACATAAAATAATGAATAACAAAGCAAGTCTCTGATATAATATAGAAAATATCACTTTACAAAATGATAAACATTGGCATATTAGTCAATAATATTACTGAAATGACTATTAAAAACTGAATAATATATAGAGGCCTTTAATATATATAGTGGGATAAAAAATCTGTGGAAATCTGCACATTTCTGAATGCACAGATTCTGTGTGGGCCCAGTAATGTTCTAATAATCAAATAGAACGTGGGTTCAGGGCATTATTATCTGTGTGAAGTATGTGTATGTTTTCATGACACCAAAGTGAGTTTCCCTCTGCTAATGTCTTTATTATCTTGCATAGTCTGAATTTGTCATTATTTTATGTGAGCTACAAAGGAATGTTTTGAATATTCTATACAGTGTCTTCATTGTTATTATCATATATTAGATGCTCTCACAAAAAGCATTTGTCATTTGACATCAATAAAAAACTGTATGTTTCTTTCAAAAAAGGAAGCAGACTAACCTGTATCCACTTTGAAGCAGGTGAAGTGGAACTTGCCCATGTAAAACTCGACACCAATAATGGCAAACATAACGATGGCAAAGAAGAGCAGCAATCCGATCTGAAGAAGGGGAACCATGGCCTTCATGATGGACTTTAATACTACTTGAAGACCTAAAGACAGAAAGAATTTGGTTAATTGTGTTCTTCATACAACCAATCACTGGAAAACTGAAGTGTACAATATTAAGATACTTACTTGGTATTCCTGACACCAGTTTGAGGGGTCTCAGCACTCTAACGGCCCTCAACGTCCTCAAGTCGAACTGTGAACCCACTGTGGTCAAAATCCTGTCATACAAACAAAAAACATAAAGAGTTCAATGGAAACCTTCACACACTCAGTTTAAAGCTATTATTAGGGCCAGACGGAATCTGCGGATTTATGCAGAATTATTTTGGAAGTATCATTAAAAAAAACTTAAAATATGAAATAGAGCCCATAGAGTCACTTTATGAACAGACAACTGGAAAAAAATACCTCCAAGACATTGTCATTGTAACATTTTACAAAAACATAAATTGTTAAGCTGGGAAAATGTCATTAAGTATTCAAACATTTGTCTGATGTATGAAATCATTCATGGTCTGTCATCCCCACCTATCAGTCAGTTTGTAAACATCAGGAACACCACACACAGAGCAACACGAGGGGCAGCCCGAGGAGACTATATTGTCCCACTCCGGAAAAGTACCTATGGTAAGGGTGCCTTTTTAGTTACAGCTGCACAGGAGTGGAATTCTGTCCCTGGCAACATCAGAGATATAACCTCCTTTAATATGTTCAAAAAACATTTAAAAATCTGGTTTATAGAGAACCAGGCGTGTCATCATTCCTATTAGAATGAACCTAGCATGTTTCCATTTGTCCCTACCATCTTAATGATTTGTTGTTTAAATGAGTTTCAACTATTTTTAGCTCTAATACAAAACGTTGGTGTTTTCGTTTAATTTGTATTTATTCATTGTTACTCCCATCTACATAACTATGTCTATTTTAGTACTTCTTAACTATGTTTGATTGTATAATTCTTGTATTGTTTTTAGGTTGTTCAGGGACAACAGATGGAAAAACAGCCTTCTAGCTAATTCTGGTGCATTTGCGGAAATGCCAATTACTGTACACTGTCCCTGCCAAATAAACAAATAAATCAAAATAAATTAATAAAAAGTAATACCTTTTTAACTTTTATTTAATTTTTACGATGCAAATAAGGGTTGGGCGATGTTGACTAATTTGGCATCGTACAATGTCTAATGTGAAACATAGCGATGGACGATGTCATCGTCGTCGTAGGCAGGGGATGTTGTTAAATATCAATTAATTAATAACGAATTAATTAATTGTAGCCCACCGTTTTCACTACCTGACCCACATGGTCTTTGCTTTACCCATAACCAAACCATAAATAAATAAAGTTACAAACAAACAACCACCTGACCTGTCAATCACTTTTTTTTCGCGGGACTCTGGCATGAATAGGCACAGAGATCTGTGTCGTTCTAATGGCTTTTCCCACAGCTGGTGAAGGAGACGAGAGTTCGGTTGGAGTTAACTGTTGTGCATACATTTTCATTGTTTTCACTGCAAGATCCTCACCGTGTGCGCGTATTTAGGAGACATTTATGCAGAATACACCTTTGCACCTAAAAACGCACTTAGGAACAAATTAAAACAGCTGTTATGTGAACTTGCTGAAGTTAAAAAAGCCCACATTGCTTGCCCCGCCTTTGTGCTCTTCTTATTGGCTCAATGCTCTAGAACTGAATGCGAATGATTGGTTAATATCAGCTGTCAATCACTCAGTCAATGCCTTCTGCCTTTAGATGACAGGGGCTACAACTGCAAAAATGTGAAGTGCTGAAGATGAAAATAACACTGACAGATTTTGTTTTAGAAAACACCTAGAGTTACTAATAATGGCACATCTTATTAGTGATCATGTGCTGAATGCTAATCCACCATTTACACTTTTCCAAGAGTGGATAAAACTTTCAGTGGCTTCAAGTCGACTATCCGCGACGGATCAGCTATGAAAATTATTAAAGCCGTTCACTGTAAAGTCTGTGGGACAGGGTTTGCAGGTAACAATGTTTGCCACAACACATTTTAAGCGTGAGAGGTGTTGTATAATCCTTAATTTAATCCTCACGATGCTCTCAGCCGTGCAAGCGGCAGCTATATGTAACATTTAACACAGCTCGTGAAAAGACTGTTATTGCTATTAAGATGACATGCAAATAATAAATTATATATCAATATAAATGTGGGGCGGGGCGATGGATTGTGATGCCGGCTCAGCATCGCGAAGTTCGGCGATGTCTAACAGCACAACCCTAATGCAAATCCAGTTAGATCCACTTTATTTCATAAACAAAGCAAGCCTATCATATAATATATCTACTAAAAGACAGAAAATATTACTTTACAAACTGTACTGTAAATTAATCATATGAATTAGTCAATTAAATTACTGTAATTAATTTAAAAACTGAATAAATATAAATTTACACACATTTACACAGGTAAATAAACAGAATCAATGATGGGCTAAAGATCTGCTTGCTTGTAGGCCTGACTATTATGCAAAAATCCCTTTTATAATTACTTATAATTATAATTCATTTTTATTTATACCATTTCATGTGATAATTCAAAATTATTATTATTATTATTATTATTATTATTATTATTATTACTACTACTACTATTATTAATATTATTAGAGATAGTAGTAGTAGTAGTAGTAGTAGTAGTAGTAGTAGCAGTAGTAGCAGTAGTAGTAGTAATTATCACTGTAGTATTAGTATTATTCAGTTATTACAATTAAACATCAATTACATTTTATGAATTGGTTTACACATTCACCATTAATACTACTTTTGGTCTAGTAAATGCTAGCAAAACAAGAGAATTAGCAATAACCAGCAAAGCAAGCAAGAAAACAAAAAAAGTATATCTTTAACTCGCATCTCCGACTGTATCAAATGACTAGATCTGCCTTTTAGGTCAGTGACTCATGTACGGTCGCCATCGCAAGAAACCTCACTCAAGCAGCCTGTCATCTTGCGGTGTTGCGTGTGTTTATGTTCTGGGAAATCAGCATAACCTAATCTAATCTAATCCCATCATCACAGTGACACTGGCGAGATGACAGCCATTAGACGTTGCCAAGGCGATGGCAGTGTGGAGCGGAGCACATGTGCCCGCGTGTCCTCAGAGCACTGGAGTGGAACCAGTCGAACACTGTGTGTGTGCAAATGTGCCAGTGAATCGCATCGTCCCATTAAGACAACACACTGCAGGTGAATAGGGTAAGACATAAATACTAATAGTTCACTATCCATCACCACGCTTCCCTAGTTGATTGATTATATTAAGAACAGAAAATATTATTTTGTGTTCCAGGCTTTCTAGAATGTTTTCTATAAATATGTAAATGAGCATTATATTTGCTAATTTTTATATATTTCAAGCAAAAAAGGATTATTTCATGCAGTTTTTTGCACAACATAAATACCACAATACCTAACTGTATCTATTATTTGTAATTGAATGTTTATCACTTATCTTTCTCTTTTTAAATGTGTGATGCAGAGCACTCGGGTTCCAGAAAGAGGTTCCACAAAAGATTAAAAAAAATCAATGTAAAATCAAACACTATTGAAAATACTATTAGTTTGATTTAGCGAAGGATTTAGGTCAGCGGTTCGCTATTTTATCAGTGCTACAAGCCCTGGATGGACGTGTATTAGAAACATACAACAAAACATACCTTAAAGTCTCCATAAAATCAAAACTAACCATATGATTTTGTTAGCAAAACAATGTTTGCACTTCTAATCTTTAACTGAAATTTGAAAATGCACTTTCTGTTTTTCTGTCAGATTACATATATCTTAGGAATTGAATGTGGCTAACGTACTTAACCACGCCCCTCCAACTGTCAGTTTTGACATCAAACAGAAATGGTGAGGAGGAGGTGTCTGTTAGGTTATAATAACTTTTAAACTCATTTCCTGATCTTTCTGAATGAAATGCTTACTTTACTACATCCAATCAGCTCCCAGTAGAAAAAATAAGCCACGCCTACTGTTATCTCATTTAATATTCCATTTCTTTAGAAACTGCATCACAATACGAAAAAAAGGGTTGCAGCCTCTAGTTCATGTGGAATTTAAGTAACATATTTCTGATTCACCAAAATGTCAACAGTGCCCTGTACAGAATTCATTCATTCATTTTCTTGTCGGCTTAGTCCCTTTATTAATCCTGGGTCGCCACAGCGGAATGAACCGCCAACTTATCCAGCAAGTTTTTACGCAGTGGATGCCCTTCCAGCTGCAACCCATCTCTGGGAAACATCCACACACACATACACTACGGACAATTTAGCCTACCCAATTCACCTGTACCGCATGTCTTTGGACTGTGGGGGAAACCTAGAGGAAACCCACGCGAAGGCAGGGAGAACATGCAAACTTCACACAGAAACACCAACTGAGCCGAGGTTCGAACCAGCAACCCAGCAACCTTCTTGCTGTGAGGCAAAAGCACTACCTTACGAATTTAAACAGATTTCGTACAAGTGGAGGTTGATTTTATGATGACAAAAAGTTCTGTTTTTGGTAAACTATTCCTTTAATATGCAATATACAAAGACGATCTAAGAACAGCCAGTTTCTCTGAAACTGTTCAAGAGATGCAAAAAATATAAAAAAAATCAACAGATGCACAATTATGCTGAATGAAGTCCATGTATAGTAAGTATAAACAAACTCTACACTGTAAAAAAACTATATGATCAATTAGTCCTGACAGCATAGGTTTCATTTATTACACTAAGTTAATCATGTTCTAACTTAACTTTATAAGTTATGCAAGCTGTTTTAAGTCAGATTACATAATATAAGTTCAATGGACTCATAAGGTTAAATTGATTCAGCTTAAAAATTTAGGGCAACCAGGATTTTTTTTACAGTGTGGCTTTAGATAGATTTTCAATAATGAAACGATCAAATATCCTTCTTTTTTTTCAAAGCATGATCACATAAACATGAGCTATAACAAAATCTGCTCAAACTCAAGTCTAATCAATACAATCTCAGTTATGCGCTGTTGTAAATAGTATGAAATGGAAAATATTTGTTGAATTCTTCAGCATCTATGTCCTCTGCTAACACTCTGTTTAAATGCTTCAAACATTTCCAGTGCAATTTATGAAAAAAAGAATGCAAAAATGCAGTGCAATCTATGCAAAAGAATGAAAAAATAAAGTCACTAAGTGCAA